TGCCCGTCCACTTTTTCCTAGTGCGGTTCCCTATAAATAGGAGCCTCATTCCTCGAATTTTTCATACTATTCACTCCTACCACTCTCTAGGAAGCCTTTCGGCACTTTAGAGTGACTCTGAGCATTATTCTGGAGTTCGAGTGAGCTTTTCGATTTCCGTTAAGGTAGAAATCGGTTAAGGAGGTCTCTCTTTGAGATATCCGGTCCTTGGTAGAGTGAAATTTTTCTCTTTTGCAGGAGGAACGTGCTTGTAGAGTGCGGGGACTGCCAAAAAGCGTCCTCAACTTTCAAAGAGTTAATATAAAACTTACTTCGGAGGTTCCTTCCTTATTCTCTCTCTCTTTTACTGCTTTCTTTATCGTTTTCCTTGTATGCATTAAATATTAGGGTCATGTAAACATTTAAATTCTGCAAGTAAATAAAATAATAGGGTAAAAGCATAGTTTCTTTAAGTATTTATCTTTTTGAATTAGTCTATCACAGGAAACCTGAAAGGGGCGTTGTGGGGTGCTAATATCTTCCCCACACGTAACTAACTCCCTTACCCCGACTCTGGTTGTAATGACCAAAGTTGGTTTTTTCTAAAACCACTGTATTTTTACCTTTTTCAGTGTTTAAGGTTAAAGCACTGGTGCGACTCCATATAACCATTTTTAAAAACCTCGTCTTTAGGTTCAGCCCGGTTATCGGACAACCTAAACGTGTTGACCACTTCTTTAGAAAACGCGAGTCAATCAAAACCATCGCGTCGCTCCGATCGCCTCTTTTGATGGTGGAGACAGTAATAAACCCTAATATTATCATAACAACATAATATCAATACACTTTTATTCCTAAACAGAATAATTATAATAAATAAAGTATAATAGTTGGAGTTTTATAGAAATGAATAGGATAGAAACTTTGTTTTTTTAGATATAGTGAAGTTAATAGTAGTTATTTTCGTTTGGATCTTTTCAATATTTTTTAGAAAAATAGTAATTTTTCATTTATTTCTGATTATATTTATTTTCCATATATTCCATGAAAGGAAACAAGATGGCTTTTTTTATATGAAATTTTGCATCTCTTTATTAGTTTTTATTTATAATCGATTATTTTGTAAAATAATAAATAAAATTAAATATTCATACTTCTATAATACTATTTATATAATTATTAATTACATTTTTATAAATGAAATATTATTTTAAATTAACACAACTAAACTTTTATTTTTCTTTTATATATATATATATATATATTTATAAAATATTTTTTATCATGAAATTATAGTCTTTATAAAAATATTTGTTTTTGAATTAATAAAATAATATTTATTATAAAATATGTTAAATCATCCATTTAATTTTTATCATAATTTTCATATTTATTATAATAGAAATATATATATATATATATATTATATATATATATATATATATATATATATATATATATATATATATATATATAATTGTTTATAAAAAATTAACATTTTTGTTTACCACTTTTTTTTTTACCATTTCTCATAATATATAAAAGTTAAGAAACCAATACATAGAAAAACTTTAATGAAATCTTACGATACAAGTCTTTTAATTAATACAAGGCTATATCTATGTATTTAAATGTCTTCAACTTCATTATGAATGATTATACCAATGAAATAATGTTGAATATTCGTGTTGATATTCTCACAAAATCTGCTATTTCCAAATTGAAATGTTTGTCGTTTAATATCAATTAAAGAAATTGTTTTTTTTTTCCTAAATTTAGAAGAAGAAAAAAATATCAAACTGAATTACTCTAGTCTTAGAATTATATATTATGTTTTCTTCAAAAAACCTTAATGTTAAGTTATCAACTCAGAATGTTTAAAAAACTGTAAAGAAATAAAAGTTTAAAATTAATCAGTAATTTTAATCATAGAACGATAAATAGTTTTAAATAAAATTTTAATATAGAGGGATTACAAAAATTTAGAAACCATGCATAGATTATTAGTCTTTAAAAAAAACAAATGTAAATTAACGGTGACCAAAATAAAGTAGAACTAAACCTAATTGGTATTTTGTGATATACCTTTTGAAATAAAATTGAAGAACAATCCACGCCAAATCTTTTCTATTTAATAAAAGAGGTATTAGAAATATCGATATCAATATTCTTCTTACCTCATCATATCATATCATATCATATCAATACTAAACCTTTTGAATTACGTGAATAACTAATGTTGAGATATATACAAAGTGTTTAATAATATTAAAGATAAATTATAAATATTTTCATCATATATTAATTTAATTGTAATAAAAATTATTTGTTGGAAGTATTATATATTATTTAATATGATTTAAATATGGATAGAGTATTTCATAATTGATGTTATATTGAAATTATAATATAATTTTAGAATTAAAGTCTATTTTTGTTTTGATGTTATCTGGTTACCTTAAGTCAAATTATTATTTTATTATAAATTAATAGTATTTTTGTCTGATATAACAAATTTTATTAAAAATGTATTAAAAGTCTCTATAAGTAATTAAATCACTCCACGTTTTACCAAATATTTTAAAACTTAAACATTATCCAACATCAAACTAAGCAACACATTGACAACAATAAGTTAAAGAACAACAAAAATCACTATGACTTAATAATTGAAAAGAATGGTAATTAAGCGATGGCATAAACGGCAAAGCAATTTTCTTTTTGTTATATTTGGTAACGAAATAGAAACGCGGCTTATTGTTGTGGCTTGTTTGCCAAACAAAACACGAGAAATTCTTACATTCTACGTCTACTACTACTACTCCTCCTACTATAGTGTAGCTACACGTGGGATCTTTTATTATTGCGTGGACGGAAAGTCATTTTCCATTCTCATCCACCCCCTTCATTCACCACCGACTTCTCACACCCCTTCGATTTCCTCCACCTGTCCAATCTCTCACCCACCAATTGCCAATAACACCAACACAACACAACACACCCATTAGTACACTTATCAATATTCCACAACAAACTCGCCCCTTTAACGTTGTTGCCCCAAATCCCATATTTGGCAGCACCGCACTATTGCTTATTTCATAAGCAACACAATCCAACCCAACCCCTTCATAGCAAAATAAAAAATATGAAAACAAAAATTCTTTTTTTCATTTGGAAATAGGTTAATATGTTGACATGAAACATGTGCTTTAATCACTATTGAATTGAAAAAAAAAATATATATATATATATATATATATATATATATATATATTAAAACAAAATATAACTTAATTCACTAGTTAACGCATTTGTTTGGATTCACGGACGGATTGGAATGTAGCAAAAACTAAATTTTTTATATATAGTAATGTCATATTTATTTATTATTCTTTTTTTACAAAGTATAATAAACAAACTTAAATATACATATTATATTTAATCGGTTCTAAAACATTTAAATATCAAGATACTTGAATCAGCTATCTTGACGATTAAATCAATTATAATCAAATATTTCCGTAATAATCGGTATTCAAAAATACATTTTAAGATACATATTATATTTAAGCATCAATTCATTTTAAGATTCTTAAAAATTTACTTAAAATAACCATTTAACAGATTAAAAGTAAATATTATATTATCTCAAATAATTATAATAATTTACTTTTATATAAATATGTTCAATATTTCATTTCTTTCCTTCGTTCTATTTCTTACTTACATATTTTCTTTTAAGTATCAAAAAGTCCTTTAAATATATCTACCTATTATTGGAATTCATTTATTTTTTCAAACTCCAATAATATATATATATATATATATATATATATATATATATATATATATATATATATAAACGATTATGTGAAAGACATAATCAATTATATTATAAATTTTTATAAAATAATAGTTTTATCAATCAAATTTGTTTTATTATTTATCATTTTTTAATCTAAACAATTATGTTTTCAAATTTTTTTATTCTCCATCCAAACAAAGTTAAATGCTCAGATAAGATGGATTAGCTTATATTTTTTATTATGTATAAATTTGAATTAAAGAAAAGAAAAATATTTTAATGTAACGAGTCAACTTATCAATTTTAATGATTAACAAAAAATTAGAGAACAGTACATATTTGGTTCATCAAAATGGATTAAATCAACCAACTTTTATTAACTCAATTAGTTACTTTGAAATCCGGGATTGAAAACGCTTGGCACAAAATTAAGGGACGTGTGTTGGTTCTTAAGTAGGTTAAATTTTGAAGAGGGTGTTCTGTTGGTGCAATGGCTTTTCAGATTCAAAGACAGAGATGGGGCGATAGGGTGTGTCGGCCACCTTCGAATTTATCTTCAAGGGAGCTGCCTCCCGTGGCGGCTCTATTTCATGACACATGGAAAACTCATTCTCACGCCGCCCTAATTCTTAACTGAAAATTAAATATTAACAAAATCGTTTCAAGGAAAGCTAAACTAAAATATCTCAAATTAAGTTTAGGTCCGAAAATATATGTGATTAGATAATGAATTATTAGGTTTAATCTTGTCATGACAAGATAATTTGTATGATAGTGAAAAAAAATAAAATAAAATTCTCGTATTTAAAAAAAATGCAATATACGCATATTATAATACCGAAGGCAGTAATAGTTGTCAATGGTAATTTTCCATCTTCATATAAATAGGACAGATACCACCACCACCATAGTTCTGTGGGCAAGTGTTTTCTGGGTCTGAACGGAATCCCACTTAACTCCTTCCCAGCTGTTATATATTTTCACATGTTTCTGCATCATCTTTCTCTTTCTCTCTCTCTCTCTCTCTCTATATATATATATATATATATATTCTCACACATGTAAATGATTGCGAAGAAAGATAAGATAGGCACAAACTAGCATATAGTTTATTTTATTTAGTTTAATCAACTACCTGATAGCTAAGCTCATATATATATAAATATATAGATAGATACAGATATAGCTAGGTAGGTATATAGTAGTTAATTTAATCATGGAAGATAGGGATCATTGTTGTTCCAACGATTCAACGATCACGAAGAGAAGAAGAAGAAGCAGAAGCCCGACAACAACCTCGGAGAAATCGAAGAAGCAACACCGCGAGAAACCTATGAAACCGTACCGAGGAATACGGATGAGGAAGTGGGGAAAGTGGGTGGCGGAGATCAGAGAACCCAACAAAAGGTCCAGGATTTGGTTGGGTTCGTATACGACGCCCGTCGCCGCGGCACGCGCCTACGACACCGCCGTTTTCTACCTCCGAGGACCCTCCGCGCGCCTCAATTTCCCCGAACTTTTGTTCCAGGACGAGGTCGACGGGGCTAATTATGACGATTCCGAGAACATGTCCGCTGATTCCATTCGCCGTAAAGCCACGCAAGTCGGCGCCAGAGTCGACGCGCTCCAAACCGCGCTTCTCCACCACGCGCCCTCGCTCAACCCCTCTCCCATCTCCCTCAAACCCGACTTGAACGAGTTTCCAAAACTCGAAGACCTTCAAGATTGATATTAATCCATGTCAATCGAATATATTTCATTTCCTAAGTCCTTTATATCAATATATAGTTTTATTATGTACATATTAGTCGGGTCTTCAAACTCATTAACCCCTTCCCTTTGATTTTTATATCTTGCTTTTGAATCGCATCTTCAATCATAATATTACCATTCTTATATATATGTTCTAGGGTTTTCTTCTGCTAATTTATATGAAAATGAGTTGTTATCATACTGTTTAGCTAAGGTGTGACTCAGATAAACTAAGTGGCCAATATTAATTCGTGGGAAGCTAGCTATAGATGGTTCATGGTTCAATATTCGTCGAGTTGTTGATTGTTTTATTGCTACTATAATCTATAAGGAATATATCTTTTGTTCAAAGTCAGGGGAGAAGGAAGAATTTTTTGGCTGAGGTTCTTTGATTTATGTTCTTGTTTTCGTGCGAAGATTATTATTATTGGGTGTATTAATATTATAGTATGTTATCTTGATGATTCGGTGGGTCTAATTAAATACGTGAAGACGAAAATCTTGAGTGTGGAATTTAAAGATGGGACGGTGGGACATTAAAATAAACAGGCAAATACAAACGTTGAGTTTGCTGAAGTGGATAAAGTGATAAGGTAGAGTAGAAGAGGCACCAAGAGATGATGAAGATGAAGAAGAAGAAGAAGAAGAAGAAGTAGTAGTAGTAGCCTCTTGTAGGTGGTGAACACCACATAAAATAATATAATAAATAAATAAATAATATGTTATTTTTTAAGAAACATGTGTGTTGTATATTTTGAGAAAGAAAAAGGAAAAGCATTGGCAAGAGAGTGGAGACTAGTGGATCTCAGTATCTCATTACTGAGGTAGAGATTGTCGTTTGTCACTGTCATGGAAAAAGTTGAGCTTCCAAATACCCTTGTTTATCTGAGTATTCGATATACACCGTTGGTATAGGAGTGCAATTTGCTACTTTCTTCTATGTGTTGCTTATATATAACAATTCCTTTCATATTTTCATTTCTTTTTTAGAAAACAAAGCTCAATATTGCTTATATTCTCTTGAACTAATGGTGTTAAGTAACACTACTTATTTTAATTATTTTGACTAAAATAATCTTATATTTTTCTGGGCACCCCCAAAAATTCTCAAATCAGTATGAGATACAAAATAAAGTAGTAAAAAGACAATTTCTAAAACGCCATCAAGTTGTTGGTTATTTTGTTGGGTTAGAGTTTCTTCTCCAATCCTAAAACGAGTTAATAAGCCCCATGAAAAAGTGTTTGAAATTTGGTAAATTCAGAAGATAAAGAGGGATACCTCTATGTTTGTTTGAAAAACAATTGAACAATAATACTCCAATATCTTTTTTATTATTATTAAAGTGTTGAGGAGCTAACGAATTTCTTCACAAAACATTCAACGAGATAGAAAAAAAATGTCACGCGTATCAGTTTAAAGTGTTAACAGAAAAAAAAAAATGGTTTCATAATTTTCCATTGTTTCTCTCTCTGTTAACTTATTGAATTTGATTTGATATTTTTTTTATCCTTTTTGTTTTGTTTTTTCTTTGGGAGATTCTCTCTGGTTTTACATTAAATGAAAAGGTAGTTGATGCTGAGATGCTCGAGAATTTCAAATAGAAGTGAAAAAACTTCTAGTAGAAAAAGAAAATTGGCATTGAAAGAAGATAAAATGCAACGGAATTGTTTATGTTCTTGTCCATGTTTGAAGTAACAGTCATCTTTTTAAAATGGGATCGATAATGGAAACATGAATTTAAGATTTAAAGAATGAATTGAAATTTAACCACGTCAAATCAAATTTAATAAAATATATTTTTATAATATAATAAATTTATTAATAAAAAATATTAATATTATAATCATAATAATTTCTAATAAAAAAGGTAAAATAAATAAGATAAAATATAATAAAATTATAATTATTTTAGAATTAGTGTAATTAATATAAAATAAAATAAAATATTATATTTTTTTATTAAAAAATTATGTTAAACCTTTTAAAAAAAATAAAACCTTTTACATCAATTGTTTTTAGTAATTTACATAAGTTTTGTGAAATTATATAGATGTCACTTACGTAAAAATCACTCATTTTCTACATTAATAATTAATTGAAATTTATTATCCGTGTATCACATTAATTACACGTTAGATGAATGTGATATATGATCATAGTATAAAAGGATGATGTTAGGATACTTTTTACATCTATTGTTGACTTGAACCGATATGAAAAAATGAACGCCACATAAATTATTGTATTGACTGATATGGTATGTTTACTTTTCATATCAATATGTTGGTGACAAATCATATTCATGTATATTAAAATACCAAGATCCTGATGTAGGAATATTTAATATGTCAAGTTCACATTATGTAACTCTTTAATGTTGGTAAACTAATAATTATAATGATAATAATAATAATCCTGATTTTGATTCTAACAATCAAACATAAACGTAATCTCAAACTGATAAATATGTTGTACACTGAATGCGAAAACGTACCTGAATTAGTCATAATAATGATGTTTTTGTAGAGTACTATATTGATCTTATGGTCTTCCACCTGAAGAACACCTGTATTTCCCTCTTGATTTTCTCTCTTGATGGGGATAGAAAGAAAGGAACAGTACTGATACTCGTTGTGTGTGTGCTCCCAGAAGGGGATCATGACCCTTTAAATAACCCAAATTAGGTTAATTACTTAAGTTTTAATATTTTCAATTTGACCCTCATCAAATTAGAAATTGCTCAATGGTCTCTACACAATTTTATTTTCATGATATATGCCTTTAGCCAAAACTTTAATTTAATCAAATCACTTTATTATTTGACTTAATAAATAATGACCCTAACACATTTAAATTATGTATCATATATATAATGACCCAAATTTTGCCAACAATCTCCCACTGGTCACAAATATATATGTCCTTGCAACCTTACAAATGTGTTAGACTTTATGAGCTCAAAATTGTCATTATATTCCTTTAGCATATTCCAAAAGTCCTGTCCATTGATCATATCAGGATATAGAACCAAACCAGCTTTTCATTGCATCATCGCAACTAAAACCAACAATGATTACTCATCCTAACATAACCAAATGACATGAATTCATCATGAAATGTGTAGCATGAAAAATTACGTGAAGGTGATCTGTACACGTCTATTTTCAATTGGTCCAAACTTTAACTTATCGAGATCGATATAATATCCTTAATGTACAAAGTGTAATGAATGAACGAAAAACCGCATATCTATAGATAACCAAATATGTCCAAAAATCAATGTATACATATATGAAATTAAACATAGAACATAAAATATATGAAAGTGACTAACTCCCACTAAATCACAAATTCCTCAAACTGTAAAACACCCATGTGAGCAACATGTTCATGAAAGACCTTGGGCGAAAGTCCTTTAGTTAGAGGATCTATTATTATGGAGTTTGTCCTTAAGTGTTCTATGAAAATCTGTCCACTTTGTACTCTTTCCTTAACAATACAGTTGATTTGTTGTCATAATATAACATAAGTGGTCTTTCAATGCCTTTCACAATTTGCAGCCCTGTGACAAAATTTCTCAGCCATATTCCATGATTTGATGCCTCCATGCTACAAATTCTTGACATCCTGCAAAATCTAAACTTGTTCCTCTTTAAACTTGTGATACACACAATCATCAACAATATTCATCTACTTGATGAAATTTGTAGTACCATTGACGAGATGCTTGTTTTAGTCCATAAATGAATTTTGTCAGTTTGCAAACCATATTCTTTGAATCTCCCTGCACAAAATTTTCTGGTTGTACCATATAAATCGTCTCAACAATGTTACCATTGAGAAATGCCGTCTTGACATCCATTTGATGAAGCTCCAAATCATAATATGTTATAAGAGTCATGATTGTCCTAAAAGAGTCTTTCGATGAAACTGGAGAAAAAATATCTTTAAAGTTAATTCCTTCCTTTTGGGTATAGCCCTTAGCTACCAGACGAGCCTTATACCTTTCCACATTACCTTTAGAATCTCATTTGGTCTTAAATATTCATTTGCATTATATAATTGTTTTCCTCATGTTCCTAAAGAAATACCATGTAATCATCCGAAATAACACTTATTCTTTCTCTAGTGGATCTCCGCAAAGTTATTGGCTCATGATGCACAGGTTCTTGAGGATCTTGAGTTTGTTCTTCATGAACAACCAAATCATCTTGAGTAAGGGGTTCATTAGTAATGCCTTGTAGAGGTTTCGAACTTTCTTTATCAAAAGTAACTGTTTGAATCGGTTCTGGAATTGTTACCGATTCTTCCTCTAAGACAAAGTTCCTGATTTTATTCTTCCTCCCAAACTCAATATCCTCAAAGAACATAGCAGTTCCCGTCTGATGAGTGGATAAAATATCATTACATTCATGCATTAATTTAGGTTAATTTCATATGTTGTTGCATTATGGGAACGATTTCATCATGCATTATCGTTGTTTTGGATCATACATGTGGTTTGTGCATTGTTCTTGTAAATAGGTGTTTGGAGGTTTAAATTCATAGTTTGGAGGGAGTTGGTGTCAAGATAGAAAGATTTCAGATCAGCAAGTTCCACATTTACCTTGTGAAATGTTCCACAACCTGTGGATTTGATACCAGAATGCAAAGATCAAGATCAGAAAGCTCCACAGGTTGATTGTGGATTTTTCCACAGCCTATGAATTAGACTCCAAAAGATTGCATGAAGTCAGAGAGCTCCACAGGTGAGTTGTGGATGTTTCCACAACCTGTGGATTTGTGGTTCAGAAGGCACAAGTGGATAATTACATTTCTTGCATCAATTGAAAGGACTGGAATTATATAGGGAAGGGTATGAAATCAATTCTCTAACAGATCTTATTTTGACTAAAGTTCTTATTATAATTATGTGTTTGTTTTCTTTTATTCAATTTTTCAATTGCTCAAACTTATGTAAATTAGGAATCTAGTAT